ACATAATTTCTGCCGCTAATACATAGATATATCGTAGAATCTAAAAACCCCCAAATATGTACATAATTGTCTTGTACAATTTTTTTACATAGGGTCAATGCTTTAGCAACAATGAGTGTATGGACAAAATAACGTGCCCCGCTGGACAGCAACCGTACTGTGTCATGTTTCAGAGGAATTCGACAAATGGTGTATCTGTGTTGAAACGGCCCCTCTGGTAAGTATGTACATACATGATGTACACATATGCGCATCACGTTAAATTACGTAACGAAAAATTGGCGATTTTTGTTTGCTCCTGTCCCCTTTGGACATACTGACAAGGGACACTCACGACCTGTCGTTTGAGTCAATGGTACTCACCATGTTTTTTAGAATCTACTAGGATCCCCGATGAAGGATCCATTCATATTTCCGTGTAAAACTCATATTTGTCGTCGTGCCGTGGCGCCAACGTCGCCAAATTTGAATGTTTTTATTTTTGGAACCGCCATAACTTTTGAAATCCTGCACGGATTTTCAAATATTTGGCAAAAATAATGACAAGGAGTTAAGCTTTCGTATTCAAACAAATTTTTTCGAAAAGTTGTCGCTTTTAGCTTTTCGCAAAATTTCGTAATTTTCTTTAAAATGCGGGTTTGTCAAAATCATGCTAAAAATACCTCAAAAATTATAATTTTTTTATTTTTATTTTTTCTCTAAACGTTCGACTTTTGTGATCATTTTAAGCATACAATTTTGAAAATCCGACATAAACTGCAAAGGCATGGGTGTTTGAAATTGGTCGAAAATGCAAATTTTTAAGTTTGGCGCCACGCCATGGTGCCAAAACGACTTTTACACGGAAATATGAAAGAATCCTTCATCTAGGGTCCTAGTAGATTCTAAAAAACATAGTGGGTACCCTGGACTCAAACGACAGGTCGTGAGTGTCCCTTGTGAGATACATCAATTTTTAACACATGGCGCAAGTGGACATGCCCGAGAGTAATTTAATGCTATTGAAAATCTGGCGGAGTCATTTAGATACTCCGTGTGGGTATTGGTTTTGTGATAACTTCCTAAGATCGTGCCGGTAGAGTCACATACATTTAATACCAGTTTTCTAAGAGGAGTGTATGCACCTGTTGAAAAGTGTTTTCTGAATTTCAGGCAACCATCGAAACCACAACTATGGCCTTGTCTCATCGACATTGACAACGCCGAAACGGCGGAAAGCAAATGGGTACAAAACTGTGCGCGACTCTGGAGCTTGGCTGTTGAATATGAACATTGATAGCAAGAGAAGCTGCATTTGCGATAAGGGGGTAAGCTGAAATTATTTATCTATTGATTACAGAATCATCAAATCTTGACATACATAGGTGTGCGTTTTCTTTTTTAATCCGCGTGTAGCACAGCTTTAGATTGCCCAAACGAATGTGGTGCTGACCACAGGGCGGCCTGCCTTCGGGCTTATACCTCGTTAGGATCACTTCTACCACGCCAATATTGCGGCTGTGAAAACTATGTACGTAACGTTTTACATATTAAACATATGTAAATATGTATAAATATGTATATCCTTATTCCGGGTTGAATTTTACTCACTAATCTAAAATTCCTCCTATCAAGTGCGACTCAGACTCTGAATGTGGCTATCTTAACTGTAAATCGTATGAAGTACAGCGCTGTAGCAACGGCCACTCCTGTTATTGCAGTCCAGAGGTTTGTGCTTGAAATATAGCTAGTTTATACTACACGGGGGTTCAGGTGGGAATGGCCTACCGGCTTGAAACTTGCAGGAGGCTTGTTATTACACACAAAATAAAAATTTGTCGAATCAACACCGCCGGTGTCAATATATGACTTAACCGCCTTGGTTACAATATTGCATAGCTGTTCAAACAACAGTGTGGATCCACAAAGTGGACTGTGGTGTGGAAAGTGGACACGATTTTTTTGGTGTTTGTGGAATTGTGGATTGTAGTTTGTGGAAAGCTTTGTGGTTTGTGGATTTGTGGATTGTAGTTTGTGGAAAGGTTTGTGGTTTGTGGACTTGTGGATTGTAGTTGTGGAGTCCACAACTACAATCCACAAAACCACAGACTGGTCCACAATGTGGACCGGTCTGTAGTTTGTAGTTATGGTTAGGTTTTGTGGCATTCTTGTGAATGATATAGCCTTAGATAAATAATTAAACACGTTTCATGATTTTCCATAATGCACACTGAAAACGATATTATAATCCGTAAGCGGGAATTTGTATCTTCAAATTTCGCGGTAAAAATGCAAATTGTCGTTCACGTATACCATTAAAACTTCGTTGCAATTGAGCATTATGAAAATTGTGAAACACGTGTTTAATTATGTATGTAAAGCTACATAATTAGAATATGTAGCTTTTCAAACCACAGTTTGGATCCACAAAGTGGACTGTGGTGTGGAAAGTGGACAAGATTTTTTTGTGGTTTGTGGAATTGTGGATTGGAGTTTGTGGAAAGGTTTGTAGTTTTGTGGAATTGTGGATTGTAGTTTGTGGAAAGGTTTGTGGTTTGTGGAATTGTGGATTGTAGTTTGTGGAAAGGTTTGTGGTTTGTGGCTTGTGGATTGTAGTTGTGGAGTCCACAACTACAATCCACAAAACCACAGACTGGTCCACAATGTGGAGCGGTCTGTAGTTTGTAGTTATGGTTAGGTTTTGTGGCATTCTTGTGAATGATATAGCCTTAGATAAATAATTAAACACCGTTTCATGATTTTCCATAATGCACACTGAAAACGATATTATAATCCGTAAGCGGGAATTTTGTATCTTTCAAATTTCGCCCGGTAAAAATGCAAATTGTCGTTCACGTATACCATTAAAACTTCGTTGCAATTGAGCATTATGAAAATTGTGAAACACGTGTTAATTATGTATGTAAAGCTACATAATTAGAATATGTAGCTTTTTCAAACCACAGTTTGGATCCACAAAGTGGACTGTGGTGTGGAAAGTGGACAAGATTTTTTTGTGGTTTGTGGAATTGTGGATTGGAGTTTGTGGAAAGGTTTGTAGTTTGTGGAATTGTGGATTGTAGTTTGTGGAAAGGTTTGTGGTTTGTGGAATTGTGGATTGTAGTTTGTGGAAAGGTTTGTGGATTGTGGTTTTGTGGATTGTAGTTGCGGGATTGGTTTGTGGATTGTGGTTTTGTGGATTGTGGTGAAATGAAATGAACAGCTATGCAATATTGAATCCGAGTTATGGATGATTTTGATACCGGTAGTTATAATGTTATGACCGGACGGAAAAAATTCATTACTACTCGGAATCACAATTGTAACCAAGGCGGTTAAGTCATATATTGACACCGTTTTGTTTTGAGTGTATCACAAGAGGTGTTTTTAGAGAAGCCCCTAATCCCAGTTTTTTTGCCGGGTGATTTTTGTGGGTTTTTATTAATCTTGGGGCTGCTTGAAGCAAATTTCTGAAATTGCATATTATCTACATTATGGACTAATACATTTTTTTCGAATTCAGCACCAAGTACCAAGTATTAGTAGTAAGTACTTACTACTAATACTTGGTTACTACTTAGTAACCTAGTATTTTCATTCATTTGAGGTAGGTTTAAGAAGTAAGCCGAAATATTTAGAAACAAGAAAACATGTAATGATACTTGGAAATTCTAGTCGTACATAGTAATGCGTACAATTTAATTCTGAATTCGAAAATTTAATTTCCTCTGATCAAACCTTTAGTTTAAAGAATTTAATTGAAATCTCCTATAAGTTGTTACAAAATCCCCGGAAAACCCCATTAAGCTTGGGGAGATTTGACACCCCAAAAAACGAGGTGTCATACCCAGTCCATTACAACGATAAATCAACCCTTTAATTTAAGTTTCATGCCCTTCGGTCATTCCCACCTACGACGTTCTCTCTTGAAGACCGCAGATCGCGTCAATGAGCAATACTCATGTATTTGTATATCTTTTTGACTTAATAGTGTACTTCAACTTCTGCATGTCCCGAATGCTCTACTCCTCCAAAAGAAATATGTTTCAAAACAAGCAACCGAAACCAATTGGGAGAATGCGGCTGTATTTCGACAAATGGTGTACTCAATATATTAATCGCAAAGTTTTGTATGAAATTCACTAGATTTTTAGAAAATATCAAAGCGAATTGTACCGTCTATGCCTACTCATTGTCTAATTATCGATATTCGTTTTTCATCGGAGTTGTGCTAACGCGTAAATTTTATTTTTCAGTGTGAGAGGAACTCGGATTGCTCAGGAATCGGAAACTGTTGTGTTTTGGACTGCTATGGAGCCTGGCGCTGCCGACAGACGTCACAAATCTTTGGATGTCCTGGTGAATCGAACGGATTTGTTAACATGAGTCTTTACCCAGTTTCCTGGTGTAATGATGGTTCGCGTCCATCACATTAATGCAGGATTATCGGCTCAGAATTTTGCGTTTAAAATTATCTCTTTACATATATACATTTAAAACAAATATTGTCTATTGCATTTTCATTTTTATAAGTTAATAAACCTTTACAAACGCATTTGACCAAGGGTGAATCCAGTGCGGTGCGTCATACGTCAAAATGAATATTATTTGCTTTGGATTGTTGAAAATGTATTAAAATTGACAGGTATTCTACGTTTATGACGTTTGACCTCGTGCGACCGATCACTTAGATACATACATAGTTATCGTTTGCCTAAAGGGGTGTCATACTTGCGTTCAGCGTTGAAACTCCGTTAAAATTGAATTGTATTATACTTTTTCTCATAATATAAACCCTCACTTAACTACGGTGGCACAAATAAATTCTACTCATGCACAGATTTTATTAAAGCTGAAGAAATTTGCACTACCTTAACCAGTGTTTGTTCTAAAAATGAAATTCCACATAAAAACTTATTAGTAATAAGTTTTACCTTTACCTTATGTTACCGTGGATTATCTTAATTTTAAGCGGCTTCAATTTTAGATTGTAAAATTTTATCCCAGTGCCAACACAGCTCGAAACGTTTCTTTCACAATGCCTCGGAGGAATTTGAGTACGGTCAACCGCTTGATAGTGAACATTCCCTCTTGCCCAAACTTAAAAGGGCGACACGTCTTCCGAAACTTGGACATCAACTTTTTCTCCCGAGGGGTCACATTTTCCAGAAGTTTCCATGAAGAAAGCGTCTTCTTCGAGTCGGCGCAAAACTGTCCGCATAGTTCCAACACGCTGGCCCAGATTATTTGGACGAGGAGGGACCAGCTTCCCAACGCCATCTAGACAATTAAATAATCAAATTGAAATTAGAATTGTAACCGTATACGTACATAAATTGCGTAATAACAAAATAACAAATATGTAATTGATTGTCTCTATTTACATGTTATCCATATAATTTTAAAAATCGGGTGTAGTCAGGCTAATCTTGATTTCTCGGTATTAAACTTGATACCGCTCGATTTTAAAATAATACGTACAGGTCCGTAAATACAGATATTTGCTATCGTTGCGATAAAACTTTAATACTTATCGAGTTATATTGCTTTAGAATCATCTAAATAAATATATATGAATATTTGGTGTTATTTTAATAATGGATTTCTAGGACTTGATCTGTCTAATTTCGTTCTAACTTTTTCTAGTAAACTTGCGAAAGGAAGGACAAACACATTCCCGACAAATTATATATTTATCATCCAACCTTTGTAGTCCTGGGTAGAATATTCCAGTTCTCAATCACGACGAAATTGCAGTAGAGACAGAGTTGTGAGAAAGCGGCATGAAGTCCAAAAATCACAAGTCCCACGATCTTCATCATCTCATTGTGCACGATTTGCATGCAGACGAATTCGCGAATCAAGTTTTCCACTTTTCGCAACGCAGGTATCGACCGGTAAGTGTTATTTTTCTTGCCATACTTATCCGGACCTCGCATCTCGAACATCAGCATCCACGCCGAGACTGAATACAAACCAAGGCAATCAATATGTAAAGTTTATACATAATTTGACCTAGAAATCCTATAAATAAATGCATATTTATATGCACTCTTATAAATCTAGTATAAAAATAATACCAAATGGTATTCATGAAAGATTTTACCAAAATGGTATTAGTAAGTAGTACCGTGTAGTAAAAGTCCGGTATTAGTGTTTTACCATAATTTGATTACCAGGCGGTAGCAATTTTAATTCTGCGAAATCAATACGACAAGATGACTATAAATTTTTACTTACAAAGATACACACTTCCCGACGTTATTGAGAAGAGGAGACTATAAATGCGATCTGCGCCCCCAGTGTGACAGCCACATGTCGCCCAAATATAGAGTCCAGTCTACCCCAAGTTCCAGCCAGGTTCCATTCACCCTCTGCTCATTTATGTAAATGAAGCCAAGTTCTGCTAGCCGCCCATGCATGAAGATGGGCGTGGCTGGAGCGTGGATGTAGAACAGTGTCGTTGTTAGAGGGGCACCCCCCAGGATTACGATTTGACAGACGAGTTGAAAGTCGAGGAAATACGAGAATTTCTCCTTGTTCGGATTCCAACAGGTATCCATTTAGCTAAATTTATATTTTTCAGGAAATTAGAGAAAATCAAAAACTTGGAAAGTTGCAGTTTGCGAAAATTTAGTTATCTACATAAAATCGAATTAAAAAATATTGAATTACAAAATCGTCAAAACCAAGGCATTTTTAATCACTTTTCGGTTATGGGAATTTATTTTAAAATTATGTACGATATGTCTGTGAGCAGGAAGTCGATCAATAGAATTTCGATGAGTTCCAACTTTTCTGAAGATTTCTTAAACTTGAGAACTTCTTAAAAAACTGTCAACATCTGGAGCCTGTATTTAGAAAACATAGAAACGACCTGCTCTACACATTGGTAAATTTCAAAATTAATTCCCGAAGCCGAGAAATAGATACAAATATCCGAATTTTGACGATGAGCAATTAAGTCCTTCATTAATACAAATTTAAAATTGTTCTTGCCTTGAAACTTTCTGAAATACTTGAGAAAGTGGTTCATCCCGAAAATGAGATCGTCCTGGATGACATTCATCAAAATCAAGCCGCCCGACATGAGCACCTCGATGAAAGTGAACGCGTACCCAATCAAGAAATTCGTGTTTGTATACCCACCCTCAAAGTAATACATGTAGTCGCTTTAGCAGTTGCGTGTATTGCGAAAATTATGCTAGTTATACAAATTCGCAAAGTCTTTCGTCTAGTCTGGTCCGTCATGTAGTAGGTTTTTCGCTTCCTGTTGAAACGAGTACTCCCAACGCCAATGTGTCCCGTGACGAAGGAATTTGCCCAAAGTAAGTTATAAAATAGGTCTGAATACATTTCGGGGAAATTTGACAGTAATTTTATGGAAAATAAAAATTTAAGAATATTGGACACTCAGTTTTATTAATTTGCCTATTTTACATCGATTAGTCAATTGACACGTAATTCGGAAATTTGTGAATATTAGGGGTATCCGCAACTTCGCAAGTTTTTCAAACCATTTTTTACGAACTTGCGAACTTTTTTGGAATTGTTTTTTTTGTTAATGTGGCTAACGATGTAAACTCGTAATGAATATCCCCGTGTTTTCAAAAAGTCATGAAAATCCTTGTCGAATAGGGT